GTTATATTACAAAACTTCTATGGTTGATTGAACTATTTAATAGTAACAACCCTCAAGTGTATCACTTTCTTGTGGTTTTAAAATGAGGAAAACCTCTTTGAAACTGTGAAAAAACTCCTTGTGGTAACCGGCTGCTGAGAAAACCCTCCACAAAAGAAAATGGAATAGGATTGTTACCAAAAAGGCACTTTTGCCTTGTGTTTTGCTCATGTTGCTTGTCTAGGAGAAAGGTGGTTATGTAAATAAAAACAGTAAACTCAAGCAAATAATGGTTTAATAGTTTTGGTTATTGCATTTTTAAAATGATTAATTAGGAAATTTGTAATTGTTAGAAAATATAAGGTTGTATCATGGTTGATTAGCTGCCAGAAAGACTGAATATTCTATTGTCAACATACCTCCCCTATAAAAGAATAGACAGATTATACTGAATCGTGTCAAACAGCTTCCCAATGAACAATTTATCTCACTACCCAGATTAAACAGGTGAGTGCAAGAAGGCAGCATGATAGTCAAGATGTGTTGCCTGATTTCTCTACCTTAAGAACAAAAATAGCCTTAACTTTTTATTAGTATCTTGGATGGCCAAATTCAAACCTGTAAATGTTACAAATAATTTGGGCAATATTTTTGTATTTCTATTTGACACAGTCTATAATTTCTCTTAATTATCCTTTGCCGGGATGATACCAGTTCACTTACATAGGAAGGTGTCTGCACAGGAAACTTGGTCCCAGTCCTTGGAGTAAAGTGACTTGGTTCACTTAGTGAATGGGATTTCTGGCCACAGATGTGTCGAGTGATTCAAGAAAAAGATATACCCAACTATCAAGTGAAACTTATTTTCCTACTTGCTGAATTTGATTTATTTGAAAAATATCATAACTCTTTTAAAAAGTTAGATTTTACCTTGGGTTATAGTATATGTAATTTCATAAAGATTGAACTAGCAAAGATCACAATCCTCAAATTCTTGAAAATAAAGTGGGCACTAAATGTTTTCTTTAAAAAAATCTGTTATGGCATTTGATCTTTGCTAAGTTATGCACAATGTACTTTAATTCTATTTTACAAAATAAATTTTACTGTGGTAGTCACAAGACAGCTATATATATTGATTCTTTAGTATGGACTGATCTGTTTATAATAGTTATTACAGGAACATAGATCCAGTGAGTATTAAGTAAACACTCGTTATTCTGAAGGAAGATGCTCTGCAGTTTTGGACACCATACATGGCTTTACCTATGTCCACACATTCCCTTGATGATTTCTGGGTTTTTTTCCCTTGTTCTTCTAAAACTAATTTTCCAAAAATTATTGCCTAGGGTTGGTTTCAGACTATTATCTAGAGAACACTTTGAAATGTCTCCATTTATATATATATATATTTTTAATATTTAAAGCACCATACTAGATCCCAATAAAACAAGAAGCTTTTTACTGTACCAGCGTATTGGAAAGAATAAACAAGAATAGCCAAAATAACCTTAGAAAATAACATTGAGGATAGAGGAATAATCCTACTAGATTTTGTACTATTAATACAAACAATATAGAGGAAGTTTCAGGAATTTAGTATATGATAAAGGAAGCATCTCATTGATGGGAAAAAAAACTTAAAAAATTGTGTTGAGATGAGTGGTTAACCATATGGAAAAAAATAAAATTGAATCCATTTCTCACACTATACATAAGATAAAATCTGAATAGATCAAAGGCCCAAATATAAAAATGAAACCCTCTAAATAACTAGAAAATATAAGTGAATTCCTATGTAATTTGAAAGTGGGAAAAATTTTCCCAGAACTGAAAATCCAGAAGCAATAAAAAGAAAAGTTTATATCTTTAACTAGCTAAAACGAATTTTGGATGACCAGAAAAGCAAAGTTACAAGATAAATAAGAAACTGGAAAAAACATTTGCAGCATGTATTACAATGGGCTAATTATAGCCCTAATATATGAAGAATTTCTAAACTTTGAGAAGAACTTAAAGAATGGACAGAAAGATATGAACAGATAATTCACGGAAAATAAAACGCAGATGGCCCTTAAACATGTGAGGGTATGCATAATAAGAGAAACACAAAACTGTAACACCTTTCTTACCTGTCAGATTGGGGAAAATCTAAATTAGGCAATGTATGCTGTTGGTGAGACAATAGGGAAACAGCCACTCTGAAAAGTACAGATCTCTGTGAATGGAATTAATAGTAAAATTAAGTATAAATTTATTCTTCAACCTAGCAGTCCCATTTCTGAGATGCACTGACCAAAATATGAAATGGCATATACACAAATATTTTCATTATAGCAACATTTATAACAGCTAAAGACTGGAAGCCACCCAAATCTCCATTGATAGAGGATTGATGGAATAAACTATGGTATATCCCATACAATGAAATACTGCATAGCTGTAAAAAGGAGTGAGGACTATTTCTGTGTAGTGTATGGAGTTATCTATAGAATATAGGAAGTGGAAAATGTAAAAATGCTGAATAGGATATATGGTGTGCTCTGTTGTGTAAGAAAGGAAGAGAAAAGTGGAAAAAAATAAATATATATGCTTGTGTATTTTCTTCTGTTTTTTTAAAAAGTTAGTGAAAGGATTAGTTATACCAATAACTAATAAAATGATTCCTTTGGTAGTAGTGCTAGGGAGCTGGACGAGGACGGCAACTAGATCTGTATCTTATACCTTTGGTGCCCTGTCAATGTTCTGTATAATTAAAAAAAATTTTTTTAAAATTACTCTTGGCCAGGCGCAATGGCTTGCATCTGTAATCTTAGTACTTTGGGAGGCCAAGGCAAGAGGATCACTTTAGGCCAGAAGTTCAAGACCAGCTTGTGCAATATAGCAGAACCCCATCTCTGCAAAAAATAAAAGAAAATTAGCCAAGCATGGTGGCACATGTCTGTAGTCCCTCCTACTGGGGAGGCTGAGGCAGGAGTATCCCTTGAGCCCAGGAGTTTGAGCTTGCAGTGAGCTATGATCACACCACTACACTCTAGCCCAGACAACAGAGTGAAACTCTGTCTCAAAAAACAAACAAGCAAAAAATAAAACCCCCAAAACAACTCTTAAAACTAAAGCAAACTTAACAGTCTATCAAGTTGGTGGTATAGCCACATGTAGAATTACTTCAAGTGACTTCAAAGCCCAGCATTTTGTCTGCACTTTCCTAATGGACTGTATCCTACAGATCAAAGAACCACAAAGAAATCTTAAACTATGTTCAGTAATTTTATTTTTAGCAATGATATTGGTGGTGTCATTTTGAAACTGGGTATTTATATATGATAAAGCAAATATTTACTTATGTCATTGGAATCCAGAGCCAAGATTTTTAGCAGAAGAGGAGACACACAATACAATCAATTAAAAACCCTGAATTTTATATTTCGATTGGAAATACCAGCAAAATCCCGTGATTTTTCTCTTTCTAAAATATACATATATTGCATAACTTTGTCCACTGAAAAGGCTTAGAAATCATCACAACTCAGTAATAAGGTCCACTCTAGCATCCAGACTGTCCCACTGAAAGAGGCAAAGAAAGGACAAGATGAGTCTGGAATATCGTGTGTCAGCAAGCAAGGAAGGAAGCAATGAGATTAATAAGGTCATGTCAAAAGGACCCAGGAACCAACTTGAAGGGGCTTCCCTTGTCCAAAGTTGGGACGATTTGAGCATCGGAAAGAATAATGGGCCTGGGCGCAGTGGCTCATGCCTGTAATTTAGCACTTTGGGAGGCTTAGGTGGGAGGATTGCTTGAGGCCAGGAATTCAAGACCACCCTGGGCAAGAGCGAGATCCCATCTCTGCAAAAAATAAAAAATTAGCTGGACTTGGTGGCATGCTTGTAGTTCCTGCTACTCGGGAGGCTGAGGCAGGAGGATCACTTGAGCCCAGGAGTTTGAGGTTGCTGTGAGCTATGGTGACGCCACTGCACTCTAGCCCGGGCAATAGAGTGAGACCCTGTCTCAAAAAAATAAAGAAAGATGAAGGAAAGAAGAAAGAGGAAGGAAGGAAGGAAAGAAAAATGGGTTGAAACATGAAATAGATAAACATCATCAGGTCATAACGCTATTAAAAAACTGGTCACTTTTGAAGGTTACTAGGGCACCAATTCAATATTTTGAAAATTGCTAATGGGAAAAATGAAGCATTTATCCTAATTTCTTTGTGTACAGGTTAACCTTATAAGGGAAAGTTCTTCATGTAAGAATCATGGCTAAATAACAGAGAAATGATAGGATTAGGAAAACACTATTTGGCCACCTCTAATGAAATAATGGATCTAGGCTGTTAGAAGCAAGAGGTGACTAGTTAATGAGAAATATTTTATTGGGTGGCTCAGGTTGATAACATCTGAGCCCAGGATCAATCTTAGCTTACTGAAAAAGGAACAACCAGACATTACATGCCTTTGATGTATTGTAATAGCAAGAAGCCAATACCAGCTATGATGAATTATTGCCCCAAACAAACAAAATTGAACCTGAATCTAATCAAGCCCCCACATCTAATGATGAGTTTGTAAAAACATGGAAGATTGAGAACACGTTAGCATACTAAATCCAGAGTGTGGAACATTTCATAGGACAAATAATACAGTTTCTTCAACCAACTAAAGGTGTAAAATAAAAGTAGTGGGAGTTAAAAATTAGAGAAACTTAAAGGACCTTGTTTGTATTCTTTTTTTTTTTTATTTGAGACAGAGTCTCACTTTGTTGCCCAGGCCAGAGTGAGTGCCGTGGCGTCAGCCTAGCTCACAGCAACCTCAAACTCCTGGGCTCAAGCAATCCACCTGCCTCAGCCTCCCGAGTAGCTGGGACTACAGGCATGCGCCACCATGCCCGGCTAATTTTTTCTATATATATTAGTTGGCCAATTAATTTCTTTCTATTTATAGTAGAGACGGGGTCTCGCTCTTGCTCGGGTTGGTTTCGAACTCCTGAGCTCAAACGATCCACCCGCCTCGGCCTCCCAGAGAGCTAGGATTACAGGCGTGAGGCACCGCGCCCGGCCTGTATTCTTATTTGAACAAAATAAAAGACATTTTTGAAACAATTGGAGAAAAGTTTAAGATGGACTGGGTATGAGATGATATTAAGGAATTATTAATTTTGTTGGGTGAAATAATGGTATAGTGACTATTTTTTAAAAGCTCTTATCAGAGATACATACTGAAGTATTGGTGGTTGAAATCAGAACTGGGATTTACCTGAAAATACTACAGAGGAAAAAAGGCAATGGGCAGGTACTAGATAAAATGAGCAGAATGTTATGTTGATGCTAGGTTATAGACATATTGGGGCTTATGTAGGCTTTATTCTATTTCCTCTGCTGTTATGCATGTATAAGGATTACTGTAATAGAAATTTAAATAAGTGAATAAGAAGAGAGAGATTGGGGAATGCCATTATAGACAACTTTTTCTAGGCATAAAGAAAAAGCAAAAAGTAGATAGTAGCTGGAGGGATACATATATCCTGCAGAAAGGGGGAAAGTGTGGCACAGGAGAGCACAGTTGGGGTGATGTATTAAAGGTGAAGGGCAAATGGGAGCTCTCATATACTATTGGTAGATTATACTAGGTACAACCCCTTTGACAAGTCATTAGCAATGCTGTATATGGCAAAATTTTAAGTGCTCCACGATTTTGTTTCCAAGTTTCTATCTCACACACACACCAGCACCAATATGCAAAGACACCTATAAAATGTTCATTGTGACATTGTAATATTGAGAGTCTGCAATCGAACATATGACTAATTAAATTATGCTACATTCATACACTGGAGTATTTCCAAAATATTTTTAATGAAAAGCCAAAATGCAGAATATTCATGTATAGATACACACACATAAATATATACATGCATACAGAATAGTGTGTGAAGTTATGTAAAGATGTAGTTACACACACATGTATAGACATTTCGGGGAGGATAAATACATGATTTTGTTAACAATGGTTATCTTTGGAAAGGGGGAGTTCTTTCTGTTGTACATGCTTTTTTAAACTTTGGATTCTTTTGCATTCATTGCTTTAATAAAAACCATATAAAATATGGAAAAGCTCTTGGTTAGTATGAAATAAGTAAGAAAATAACTAAAGGGTCTTACTGGCTGTGCTGTTGTCTGTGTGTGGATGTGCAGATCTGGATTAGGGGAAGAGGGACAGATGTTCAATGTGTGGAAAAGGCTATAAGCCTCAGTAAGTTAACTATTAGAAATTGAGCTATAAAGATAGAACTGGTCTGTCCCAGTTTTTCCTAAGAAACAGTCCCAACACAAAACTGCCCTTTTTATTTTTCCTTTTGCTTAAACTCACTGAAAGGGGCGCCTGAATTAGAATGTGTACTTCTGTATATCTATTAAGCCCTACTTCTCTTTCTCTCTCCTCCATCCATGCACTACCATATCCCTCCTACTGTTTTCTCTAAAAATTCTCCTTAAAAAAATTTTTTTCAAATGTTGTATTAAGTTAGAACTAGTTAGAATTTGTTTGCCTGTTTTCTGGCAGTAGCCTGGCTTTAGGATCACTTAGATTAGCTCCCAGATTTAAATTTTAGAAACATTCTTATCAAGGAGTTTTCTAAGTGACACGGGGTAAGGCATTTTATTTTACCATATACTTCAATCCTTTAAAAAGTTTCTATATATTCACTTAAGGCTTAAAAGTTTTCCATGAAGCCTATTAATTATTTGAAAATGTAGAATAACCCTAGCCTACTTTTTAATTAAAATACTGTACTCATTTGAGGGAAGGGTCATCTGACTGACAGATGTAGGACTGATTTGCTATCCTGTGTGATTCTGGACACTTGTCATGGGGACAGGCATGGAAAGCTGAATGACTAGTCTATTTCCTCCTTAGTAGAATTAGACATATTAATTACAATGACCAGGATAGGGGATATGTACATTGTTGTTATGTTCATTATAAGCTGTTTGATAGTTTTTTGCCTCTGAATGTTTTTATAGTTGGAAGTTACAGCAATGGAAACAGCTAAATGTTGAGATCAGATTGCCAGACATGAACAACTAGTATTACACTTCCTGTGCCAACCAGCTTACTGTATTTCTGTTGGGACTTACAAAAGGCCCAAAAGATCTTTAACATATATCTGTTCAAGACTTAAAAATGCTGTTTTCCATGGGATGGGAGGGTGTTTGGATAAAACCCAAACTGTGTTTTCCCTCTGTTGTCATACCAACACAATTATGATCAACACAAAAAACTTCTGTGACCCCAAAATATGTGGGGATTTTTCCCCACCAGCAAGCAAGCAAGCAATTCTGCAGCAGACACCAAATGAGTGTCCTCCAATTCAATTCTGATACTACCTGGAGATAGCATCAGGTGAGTGAGGGCTCAGTCCCTGAGACTGCCCCCGACTTCAGATACCAGTCGCACATCAGGCCTCCGGAACTGCTGACTGACGGGCTTCAAACTGGGGTTCCCAAGACTCTCTCTTTGGGTTTGATTAATTTGCTGGAGCAGTTCACAGGACTCAGGGAAACACATTTACTGGTTTACTATAAAGGATATTACAAAGAATACAGATGGAGAGAGGTGTAGGGCAAGGTATGGAGGAAGAGCACAGAGCTTCCATGCCCTACCCAGGGCGCCATCCTCCACGAACCTCCCTGTGTTCAGCTATCTGGAAGCTCTCTGAACCCTGTCCTTTGGCCTTTTATGGAGACTTCATTACATAGGCATGATTAAACCATTGGCCATTCATGATCAGCTCAACCTTTAGACCCTCTCCCCTCCCTGGAGGTTGGGAGGTGGGGCTGAAAGTCCCAACCCTCTAATCCTGCCTTTGTCCAGTGGCCAGCCCCATCCGGACACTATCAGTCAATCATCGGCACACAAAATGACATCACTTGGGAGATTCCAAGGATTTTGAGTTGCGTGCCAGGAAATAGGGTCAAAGAACAAATATATATTTCACAATATCACAGACAGGCACCAGGTAGGGGATATAGAGAGTAAAAGATGGCAGAGGAGGGAGGCCCAACATTAAGGATGATACCACGAAAGGGCTTGATTCTGGTGCTGACCTGCAGAAGACCACTGAGGGACAGCTGCCCTGTCTCAGCGTGCCCCCCTTCCAAATCAAAGAGTTTTCAGTGATGATCTGAAAGGAGTGGAGCATCTCCTCTGTGTGGTGGAATGACCTCTCAGCTTCACTTGGCCAGCCCCAAAGATGCCCGAAGCTGACACATCTTCTTTGGCAGCCCAAGACAGAACACCACGCCCTCAAGTGCAGTCTGTTTCAGCAAACATCTGAGCATGAGACGTGGACTGTGCCAACTCTCAGAGCAGCAAGGCTCCATCTCCAGCGTGCCAGAGTCATCAAGGCTGCGTGGTATAATACAAATGCAGGTAGAGGCACTACCTCCAAGAGATTCTGATTCTGCATATCTGTGGGTGGGGCCCGGGAATCTGCATTTTAACAAGCACCGCCCCACCCAACACATCTGACAGGAGTGTGAAATTTTTTTGTTCTGTTGTTTATCAGGCAGTTCATTCAGTTGAACTCACCCTACAAATGCTATCTCTTGGCAGCAGCTGAAATCCCAGTTTAATTATTTTATTCTTAGTTGGGAATCTGCCCCATACAGGCAGAAATTGGGGCAGAGCTTATATACAGACTTTGGGCCTCCCCTCTCTGGCTCTCTCCTTTCCAGGACTCCCCCTTCATTTTGTGGAGGCTGTAGTTGCCCTGAACTCTGGTTGAGCTGATCGCGAATGGCCAATGGTTTAATCATGCCTATGTAACGTAGTTGCTCTCTGGTTCTTGAAGCCAGAAGCACTGCTGGTTTTCTAGCAGAGTTCTCTCCTCCCTACCTCAGACAGAGTTGCAGCTTCCCTCAGGCTAAAAGCCGCAATCTGTTCCTTATTCCAGGTGTCCACTCCCTTCCTGAATCTGTTTGCTTGTGATCGTTCTCTATTGGCTTCAGGTTGTTGTTTCTTAATATTCTGCACTTTAAAGTTAGTGGCAGGTGGGTTGGTCCCCAGTAGGGCCTTACTCTGCTATACGGGAAACGGAACTACTGGATCAGACTTTGAGAATCTTTCTTCGCTAGTGTCCCTTGAGACTCGGCTAGACGGAGGCTTTGCCATGCTGAAAGAATGCTTGCATCCTCTTTCTGTACTTCACCCCCCATCGCCTGCTAGGACCATATCTAGCAATCTGTAGACATTTCGCTTTAGAAACGTAAATGAGAACCAGCCAATGCAGGACGAGTGGTATGATATTTGCACTACCTTTAAAGAATGACGCCCCAAAAAAAAAAAAAAAAAGAATGACGCCCCAAACTTAGCTGAAATGTAAATACAGTTGGCACTCAACAACTTGTCTGGAAACCACCGTTTTGGTCTCATCTCTAAAACAGCTTCCCTGTAAGTCCTTCTATCTTTGGCTTTTGCTGGCCTCACAGGCCTCGCTTACCCTGCCCACCAGGGGCTCCAGAAGCTTGCAACATTTTACCATTCCAGCGTTCCTGAGACCTCTGTCCTCTCCAGGATTGTGTCACTCATGCTTGTGGTTGCAGCCACGCTGGTTTATTGTCATCTAATAGGCCTACTGCTGTAAATTTTTACTGTGCCAACAAAAAAAGCAAAATGCTTACATTCTCGAATTTCTAATCTAATTCTCTTAAATTGGGAAAATTAGCAGGGTTCTAACAACTTCAGATTGTCAGGTACCCCAATAATCTGCATCACTCAAAACCCCAGGGCACCAACTACAAGATAAGATTGATGAAAGAGTCTGGAAGTCAGCAACAATCTTGAGTGATGGATGTTTTTAAGCTTCCACACTGCTGATGAAAGCTATTCGCGGTTCGCTAAAACTAGCCCATAAATAACCCTGAGAGGTGATGCTCCCCATACATTTCCTCCCTGCCCCCGCCCTCAATGCTGAGAGAAGGCATTTGAAAATAATGAGGTAACACTAACAAGGGGTTTATTTACCACCAGAGACTGAGGAAGTAGGATGTGGAATTCTGAGAATCACTGTCTTGTGACCTGTAAATTGCTGCTCTGGCATCTGCCTCTCATTGTTTATTAATCTTTGACCTGTGGGTACTGGCGCCAACCATTAAGCAAGCCAGGTGTTAACACGGGTACCTCTTGAGCAAGCTCTGCTATCGGAGAGCATCTAGAACTAAGGAAGAAAGAATGAGGGCTGAGCGCCCAAAATGGACAGCACCGAGCCTGGCATGTACGGTAAAGCTCCTGCACTTCCTGGTTACCAGGAAGATTCTGGAAGGCTCAGAGACACCCCCCTCCCCCAGCATTTAAGCCACCGGCATTCTCAGTGTACTTCCAGATCGTTCTTTTTAATCTGCTGGGTGGATTAGAATCCCACGTAAATGTAAGGATTTCCTGATTCCTGACATGTTTGCTGGGAGAGAGATGGAGCAACAAGGAACAACACAGAACACTCTGGTTCATTTAAGAATATGAGCTTTGGCTGGGTGCGGTGGCTCACGCCTGTAATCCTAGCACCTCTGGGAGGCCGAGGTGGGTGGATTGTTTGAGGTCAAGGTCAGGAGTTCGAAACCAGCCTGAGCAAGAGCGAGACCCCATCTCTACTAAAAATAGAAAGAAATTAATTGGCCAATTAAAAATATATATAAAAAATTAGCCAGGCATGGTGGCACATGCCTGTAGTCCCAGCTACTTGGGAGGCTGAGGCAGGAGGATTGCCTGAGCCCAGGAGTTGGAGGTTGCCGTGAGCTAGGCTGATGCCACGACACTCTAGCCCGGGCAACAGAGAGAGACTCTGTCTCAAAAACAAAGAGTATGAGCTTTTAATGTTTTCATGACAACTCTAACCATAACAGCTGCAGACAGAGCTCCCAAGAAATCCATTCCTGTGGAAAAGCAGCAGTTCCCTTCCCTGACGATGACTGGGGCTAAAGGGCGTGCAACAGCAGCGACCTCATGATGAGGGTGGCAGAGCATATGCAATTGGGAGCCTGGCATGGGAATGGAAAGAAGGTTGTCTCAGGTGACTGGAGTGCAATGACATTCTGTAGATGACAACAGGGAAAGCACTGTGCTCTTATCAAAGGTGTCACAAATCTCTTATTTCATCCTTACTATCTGTTCTGTGTACATCATAAGACTTTGGATTTTGTCATAAAGGTAATATGCATTTTGGGGGACAGTGAGGGAAGGATATCTCCAAAAACCATGTCCCTTTCACCAAAGAGGAAAATGAAGCCCAGAGAGGTTAAGTGACTTGCCTAAGAACACACAGCTAATGAGTGGTCAGTCAGGACAGTGGAATCAAAATAGTCTTACTCCCTTTAGAGTTCTTTTCATTTGGATTTCTTTCTTCATAGTGTTGCCAAATATTATTATAAATAATGGTGTAGGGTTGGCCTGCCATGTGTTAGAATGGGCAGACTCTTTGCAGAAAATTACAGGCATGACAAAGGTAGATAATTTGATTGTCCAGCCAAGTTTTTATTACAATGTCACAAAGCTGCCAGTGCCTTAGCAAGACAGAATTAAGTATGTTCAGAAGGATTACAAGTTGTTCTATGATAGAAGGTGCTCAAATAAATGTTTTAACTGATAGGGCAGCACTGTATTCCATGCTACAGAGACTCTAGTAAAGAAACTGAATATGGTGTAGATGCCTTTCTACTGGGTCATAGCTATTTGGGCGCCTATTTCTGCCTAGGGTTCCTTTGTGTACTTTTGTCAACTACACTGCAAGGTAAACATATTGCATTGTTGCAGATGGAGGTTGCATCTGGCCTGGGAGATCAGGAAAGTTGAAACATGAGGTGGCATTTCAACTGAAATATTAAGAATTTGGTGATTGAATTCTGTTCAATTAAGATTTATGGAACACTTATTGCACAGTTTGAACTTCGCAACATTGTTTCATTTAATCCTTCTAACAACTCAATGGGAAAGGTGCACTTACTTCACAGACGAAGAGCAAGGACCAGCTCGGCTGACCTTTCTCCTGAGGACTGACTGCTCTTAGCTGATGGGCGCAGCCTTGCCTGAGGGGTAACCTGGAAGGCAAAGGCAAGGAAACCTCGGATGACCAAGAGATAGAAAATATGAAAAACTGCTGAAGAGAGATGTCAGTGTTGGATTTCCCGGATCTATCTTCCACCTAATAGACATTCCAGGAAGAGAGACTTCAAAATTTTTCATTTTAATGAGGGATAGGAAATAAACCATTTTAAAAAGTGAATTTCCTTGAGGTGCCCTCAGGTAGTGAATAGCAATAGGAGGAAAAAGGTCACACAGAGATGTCACTTAGTGAAGTTTCAAACTCTTATGAACACCAAGGAACCTTGGCTAAAGCTAAAGAGAAAATTCTACAAATTTCCAGAGGGAGACAAAGTTTCAATAATTAGACTGGCACCTGACTGCTCATCTTCCAAATGGGAACTATCTACAAAGTTCTAAATTTTTCTGAAGGAAAATGATTTTGGCCCTGGAATTCTATATTCCCTTTATTGTCCCTTACTTAAGAGTGAGAGCAAAATAACAATGTTCTTGGACATGCAAAGACCCGGACAAGATGGCATGCATGATTTGCAGGGCTCAATGCAAAATGAAAATGAGTCCCTTGTTCAAAAAGTATTAAGAATTTCAAGACAGCAACTGCAGAGCACTAAAATAAGTGTGGGGACCCTCTGAATGCAGGGTCCTGGGCACTGCATCAGTCACACGCTCAGGTGGCCGAGGAAGCTCACCGTCCATGAACTCTTCCTGAAAAAGAGAAAAACTCATTCAAAAAAGAGATGGGCACAAAATAAATAAGAAAACAAACATAAAACTCCCATCTCAGTAAAACTTATAAAAAATTACTGTCTAAAGTATACTTTTTGATGAAGCTTAAAGTAGTGATTTTAGAATACTATTATTAAGAATAGAGGAAACATTGTTTTAAAATGATATATTAAAATTCCATACATTAAAATTTGATAATTTTGACAACATAGTGAGAGGAAAGAGAAACATAAAAAGCATACTTAATGACTTGTTAGGCTCCGGGGATGCTTTAGACACTAATTAATTAGAACAAAATATATATTAAAGATTGATTTTACATATTTAAAGGTAAGCACAATATTTAAAGGTTAGTGACTTAAGTCAACGCATGTTTGTTACTTCGTGGTTTCGCAGACCAAGAATCCGGGCGTGGCTGAGCCCGCCGTCTGCCTCCGGGTCTTTGCACGGCTGCAGTGTAGGTGGCGGCCGTGCTGGGGTTGCTCACCGTGTGAGGAAGGACTCGCTCTCCACACTCAGTGGTTGTTGCTGGGATCCTGTGTCCCAACTGAGCGCCTCGGTTCCTAGCTGGCTGCCAGCTGAAGCCCGCCTTCAGCCTGTTGCCATGTGAATCTCTCCAACCAACACGGTCGGTCACTTGGTTGTCTTACATAACGTGACCACAGTGGCGTGGCATCCGTGGCCTGTGCTGGGCTCTAAGCGTCAGAAGGGAGTCACAGGGCCCATCCACACTCAAGTGGAGGGGAAGGCCAGGCTGTGGGCGCCAGGAGCAGGGCTGCTAGCTCGCCACTCACTGTTCACGCCAGGGCCCGGCAGACATCGGAGACACGGTTGCACTCCTGGGTGTATAAAGCCTCACCTGCTCGCCAGAGTTGGCCGTGTCTTGCCCATGATCGGCTCAAGTGCACTCATATACAATCTGTCACTATTTGTGGAATGAACATGTCAGCGGCTGCAAACAAAAGCAGTTCTGCAAAACAGAGTTTGGCACGTTAACAGGTTGCTTTTAATTTGCATTTAAAATGGATTTGGCAGTTCTGCATATTAAAAGGTCAAAGTGTCGTGCTGTGAAAGAGAAAACAAGAGCTTAAACATTCCAGAACAAAATATTCCACAGGATGCCCTTGTGTTTGCCTTTGCATCTGGACCGTTGTCATAGTCCTGCCACCGCAGCCATTTACATCCGAATCACATTTCTCTCTTGAGGAGTAAATATAGTTCAGTACTTCCTTCAAATGTCCTTCACTCAAGGAGAAAAACACATCTGGGGTACATATTTCCACAACCATACTGGCCTAAATTTCAAAATCTGTGTGCAAATGAGTGGTGACTGCATTGTGTTGACCCCCTTGGTTAGTGTCCTTAAGATGGCATTATTGAGAACTGACCCTGTTACTGCTACTGTTTTTTCTTGGCATGAGACCCAGGCCACTGCTCATTCTGAGAAGCCCTGGCTGAGAGTCAGGAAGTCTGGGTTCTTGTCCCGGCTTTAGATGAGCTGGGTGGCCTTGGCCAGTCACCCTCCCCGTCTGCACTAGTTTCTTATCTGGGGAATGGTGGGTTTGGATGGATAACAATTCAGGGATCTATCCCTCTGCAGTGAGATTCCAGGGACCACGACTGGGCTGGTGCAACCACCCGCACCTGTGGGGAAGGTGGCCCCGAGTGGCTCACAGCTGCCCCCTCTGGAGGATTGCGCTCGGCCACACAGGAGCTTCCTTGCCTGGGAGATCAGGCTCCTGTGCCTGATGTCTGACAGACACTTGCCTCCACGTGGGCCCAGTGCGTGGCCTCGTCCATGTCCCTGAGCACCTGCGGGACTGGCTGGCTGGGCTCCAGAGGAAAGCACGGGCTTGTGCTTACTTAGCTCCTCCCCGTCCCATCCTGCTTCTCTCGCTCCCCTTCTCCTGAGTGCCCCCAAAACCCCATATGCAAGAATCCTTGTCTCAGGCTCTACTGCTAGGAACCCTGATCCAAGAAAGTTACCTTAGAGGGGAGAGCTCATGGGTATGGGATTTCTGGAATTTTCCTGATAGCCTAAGATCATCATGAAAATGAGGGATGGCAAAGTGTAAACACAGAGAGAAATCCTTTAACTAAAGCACTAGGTATATTGAAATAAACATGCACTCTTTAGGTGTGTTGAAATAAACATGCAATCTTTATCGAAAATTTAGTTTACATTAGAGGTAACGGTGGAACCTCTAAGTAGAGACATCTGCTTGCTCCTGGCTCCGCGCGGGCACTCAACGAATAACTATCGAACTAATTTAGGTTGAATTTCTAAAGAGGAGCCTAGAATTATTGTAGGATACTTGGTTACAGGAGGGATTATGTTTTGGGGACACAAAGGAGCAAAGAGACAACTTCTATGGAGAAGTCTGGTGTACCCGGGCCCAAGGGCTCACTCTGTCCTGACCCCTCTAGGAAGAGTGACGGCCATCAGGACCAGGGGAAGGAGATGATGTGAGGGTTAATCTTAGCGGGTATGTCTAGATTGCAGGCGCCAGCCCTGAGGGGCATCCGGGGACATTTGGAACTCCCTCTTCTGAACCACCAGCCACCTCCTACTGTGCTGGTAACGCAGATGGACGAGGTGACTACCTGCTCTCAGCAGCCCTCCTGGGTTCAGCTACCCTGCCTTTCTCAGCGTTTAGGGGAACGATAGCACGTGACAGTCTCCTTGGACCCACAGGGACAGGTCAGGCCTTCACTAACTTGGAGCCCTGTGTGCTGGGATTTGCAGTTCAAAAATGATACACTCTGGTCTCTCCCTGCTTCTTTGTCCACACCCAGCCTTCCCTATGGTTCTCCTCCCACCTGCCTTTCAGACCTGTGGTTATTTTGTGTCCTATCCCCTCACCACTGGGGAGTCAGGGAAAGCATTGGCCGGGGGCTTCATCCTGGATTTTTCAGAGCAAGGAATGGGAACCCAGCAGGGAGCTGAGTAGCTGGGCCAAAGAGTCCCATCCTCACCCCAGCCCGGGACCCTCCCTGGACTTGGGGTGAGCTATGGCCAGCAAGGGAGTATGCCCACCTCCCAGCTGGAGGCCTCTCCTGGTTAATTTTCCACGAGGGGCCCCATGGGCGGGGATTCATCACCTGAGCAAAGGTGACACAGGTGAGGGAGGCGGGGCCTGGAATGGGGATGTGGCCTCCTGGCGTGGCCACTCCTTCACAGGTGTGGGGTTTTCCAGAGTGAGATCTGGCCTTGCTAACTACAGCCTCCCGACCCTAAACCAGGGCGTGGCGGAGGCCCTGTGACACCAAACACTTTGGAAAGGCCCCGCCCACCTCCCAAGCCTGTCCGGGATCCCCGGCTGCGTCCTTGTGCAGGGTGAGAGTTAGTTTCCTTGGTTGGGTGGGATGGGAGGAGGTGTGTGACAAGTTGAGGGGTGGGAAAGGAGAGAGGAAGAAGACAAAGAAAGGAAACTAAGACAACTGTCACTGCGTGGGTGACGGCTGCATGCCACATGTGTTCTCATGACCCCTCTCCTAGGACCCTCTCAACAACCTCGGGAGTCAGAAATTGCCTCTCAGGCCTCAGTTTCTCCACTTGTAAAATGTGCTTAATAACCAGTTGAAGGTCTCATCTGTCATTTCATGCATCCTCCCCCACCCTGTGTGACAGACAGAGCCCCGAGAGGCGAACCTAGCACAAATCGAGGTGTGCCTGACCTACCTGCTGATTTGTAGCATTGAGAAGTCCAGCAGGAGGAGGCCCTAGGCCAGATGGGGGCTTTAAACAACTGGATAAAAGAATAAAAATGCTGAATACTTCCATTTAGAGCTGGACTTGGCACACACTTTCTGTAGAAGGCCAGATAGTAAGTATTCTAGTCTCTAGGGGAGCTGCTCGCCTCTGCTGTTTTGTGTAAAAGCAGCCATAGATGTAAATGGATGGGTGTGGCTCTGTGCCAATAAAACTCTGTTTGCAAAACCAGGTGGCCAGCCTGTGAGCCATAGTTTGCTGACCTCTGATTTAGAGATACACAATGTAGATGGGTCAGGGCGTTCAAGGTAAGACAAGAAGCGAGAAGGATTAGGGTTAGCAGGGCATTGCAACATTTATCTCAGTCTGTGTAAATGACACACCCCTGGAACTGTGCACAGACTGCACAACCATATACTGCTGTCCTGAGGGTAAGATAAGAAGAAAACAAGCCTTACAGTCTAGACTGTCATACCTGGGAATGGCTAAGTGCTAAGGCCTAGACAAGACTCTTCGGTGGGATGACCGATTGTAAGAGGGTCTCAGAAAAGAAAGTGGAAGGGTCACTTTCCTGTCCAAAGGTATCACACTCTGACAACTGATAAGGTGGCCTGGTTTCCTAAACTGGTAAAGTGGTAGAATGACCTTGGGAGTCTTGTTAAAACTTCTGCAGCCTATTCTTCTGAATTAAACTCTCTTGGGTGGGAGGCCAGGAATCTGTATTTGACAAGTTTGCTGGGTGACTTGGTTGTACAGCCTGGTTTGGGAACCCTGCCCTAGGAGACCTCCCAAGATTTCTGCCGGCCCTAGGGCAGAGCCGGAGTGACTGCCGCAAACTGTGCCCACATTTCCCCACTACTCCTGGCCTTGTTGCCTGACTGTGCAGTAGCCCAAAGAGGGATACAGGGAGCCAAGGATTAGGACACGGTTCCTGCCTTCATAAGCCCCAGTGCAATGGTTAAATCATGGCACCAGCTACAATGCCCCTCCACAGCCACATACCCATTGCTAGAGAAACCTACCTTCGAATGGCATAAATATGGCAAAGCAGGACAGTGATTAAGAGTTGTCCTACTATCTTTTTTTTTTTAGAGGTGCTGGAGAAAATCCAATGGGGCCATGTCATACCATTTTCAAGGGCAATTGGTACAAGAAATTGTTCATTTCTACCTACACGTGTTTCAAATTCCATCAGCAAAGCCATAAAGTGTATAGAAAGAGAGATCAGAAAAAAATTAAAGCTTCAATTTGAAGAATAAGGAAATATGCTGAAATATAAAGTGAGTATACTGATTGGTTCAGAAGTATGCAGTATGCAAGGCTAGAATAATTGCAATCTATATTCTAGTGGTCAATACTGAAGACATAAAGAAATACATACCTAGATATAACCAACTAGAAATACATTTTAGGTTAAAATGAAAATTCGTGGTAATGGAAAAAGGGGATTAGATCTATAAGTCACTCAGGTGGAGCATTTAAAAAAACCAAAGTTCTAGGACTATTCAGTGTTTGGTAGAATTCTCCAGTGAAACCATCTGGGCCTGGAGATTTCTTTTTTGGGAGCATTTTAATTACAAATTCAACTATGAGATTTCTTTTTTTGGGAGCATTTTAATTACAAATTCAACTTCTTTAATGGTTGAATAGTCCTATAACCATTAAGGAAATGGAATTCAAATTTAAATATCTCATGAAAAAAATCTCTTATGGTTTCAGCTCTGACATGTAAAGAACTTGGAAGTTGTTACTCCCATCCTTAAACGAGAACAAAACCAAAACACCCTGAAAAATCAGTGGCTTTTCTTGGACCTATCAGAGAACCGAGGTCACAGGGCAAACCACCACCCTGAAACCTGAAGAAACAGGCAACTCCGAAGAATCCCAGGTGAAAATCTTCTCACCTGGAGCAAAAGGCACTGGAGCTGTCAAATGATGGGAACACTTACATGGTGATTTTAATGAAGTGCTGGAGGCTGAGTGTGGGCAAACATGAGAGTGAGAAACTCCTGGGGCTGCAGTTTTGGGGGACACACTTCTGTGGGTTCTACCTCTAGGGACCTCACCAGGTTCTCATGGTGAGGAGCCAAGAAAGATCTCCTTGTGGCTCTGGCATGGGGAGGGGAAAAGTCATCACCAGAGCCTTACTTTACCTGGGGGTAGGAGTGTTTCTCCAACTCCAGCACACACTTGCACTCTGGACTCACTAAAAGACAGATTTAGTGAGAAGATTATAGAATGTGTTCCCTTCTCAACACCTTATCACCACACCAACAGGGCTCCAGTAGCATGAGAGTGGATTACAGCTGAGAGAGCTGCAAGACAGATGCTATTTAAGAAGTAGTTCATAGGGAAGCCAAAGGCAATAGGTGAGGAAAAAACAAGGCCATTGGAGGAAAAGTGAAGCCTCTGCCCGCTCTGGCTTGTTTGTGAAGTCCCATCCCAAAGGTGAGAAGCCTGGCTCCATCCATGTACTTAATTATTCAGTTCCAGTGCAGATCTACGGCAGTGTCAGTATTGTCAGCCTGGTGTGGTCTGGACTGGAAGGGTCAAGGCTGGTCAGATTCCCGTGCTTGAGAATTTGAAATGAGGAATGGAGAAGATGACACAGTTCATGGAAGCTGAAGGTGAAAGAAGCCAAGGGGTGGGATGGGGGCCATAAAGGGTCATACAGACCACTCAGGTTACAAGTGGAGTCCTTGTGGAGACTAGAGATGTGAGAGGACAGGGAAGGTGACAGCCAGTCATGCCCAGAGACCAGAGCAGACTCAGGGAGAGGCCGGGTCCTGCTGATGGCAGAATGCTGGGGTGAAGAGGAGGGTTCTTGCTGTTGAGGTGCAAGGCCTTGGAGGCCTTGGGGACTCGGCTGGGCTCTGGTCTTCCCTGGTCCCCATGAGGTGCTAGTTACTATGATGGCTACTGTGCATTCTTATAATACAGCCCCCCCCCCACACACACACACATACACATGTGAGTGGGGAAACTCAACCCAAGTTCTGAGCCTGTAAACCAGCCAGAGAGGTTTTGGTGAAATAGGTGACATGTCCAATTTTGAAAAGACTGATTTTGAGACGTTTTCATACACAGGCACTCGGAAGACGGTTGGTCTGAAACTAAGCCGAGAGGCGTGGGCTGGACACCAAGACACCAGCAAGAGGGTGGCAGTTGACACGCAGCTGGAGGGAAGATCCCGGCACGGTGAATGGTGTGGATGAAGGACAGCTGAGGCCCAGCAAGAGCCATGGAGGGCATTGGTGCTTAGGTGGCCAGCTTTGGAGATGGTGAGAGCAATGGAGGTGGAAAAGCTTATTCAGAGAGATAGGAGGAGAACCAGCAGACAGCAAAATCTCAGAAACCACAGAAAAAGAGGATTCTAAGAGCGGGGTACTCACGATTGTCAAATGGCAACACCAGCACACACGGAAATATAACCCATGATAAGGACAGCGCTACAAATCAGTGTGGGAATGAGAAGATTATCCAACAAATGGTGCTAGGACACTGATTAGCTATTTGAGAAAAAAAGTCGATTGAGAGCCTCCATCTGCTGTTCTTTACCAAAGTACATTCCATCAGATGAATCAAAGAATTAAATGGTCACCTGTTTTCCCTTGGCTTTTTTGGCTGTCTTATACTTTCAAATTTAAGTTTTTGGTTTATATATTTTTTTGTTTACATTGACTGTTGTTTGGCTCATTTCAATTCAAAGGAAATGGTCAATAGATACAGCTACAAAAACTACTGTCCATGAACCAAAACATCATAAGTGAAATTAAGAAGCAAATGGTAAACTAGGGCAAAATGCTTTCCAAATATATAATAAACAAAGGGATATCTACTTAGTAGATAAAGGGCTATATTTGTAGATAGGACTAACATGGAGACTGCTGATATAATGTAGGCAAAGACTGCAAAGAGGCCAAAGTCAACATCCAAATGCACAGTACAGTTGGAAAAAATGTTCAAGTTTACTAATAATTAAAGAAAAGCAAATTAAACCAATGAACTAGGTTTCCTAAATCCTTGCCAACAAGACTGGAGCACAGACACTCTGGTGGCCACCTTACTGTTACATCTTTTCTAGAAGGCAAATTGGGAATTAGTATCAAGAAACTGAAGTTCTTGTATGCCCTTTCACCCAATAACTCAGGGCAGTTTCAATTCTAGGAAACTTCCCTAAGAATGTAAACATAATTGGGGTCAAAGACTCATCCACAAAGATGTTTATCTATGCAGTAGAGTAACAGTGAAAGAACAGAACGTTGCAAAGGTTTGTGAGTAGGTGTTATCTAAGCAATGCATGATACACTGTTAAAATGAATCTTAAGGATGGATGAAATTATACTTAGAAAGAGTTTTCAATGGTATTATAAAACACTAGTAATGCAATGTTAAGGGGAAAAAAAGAATACAAATTTGTATAAATCACCTATTTTTCACCTGTGCTTTAAAAAAGCAATCAAAAGGAAATACACCAAATATTTAAAGAGTTTATGTCTAGGTAGTGGCTGTTAGGGTGATTGGAAATTATAGATAAACATTTTTACAACTAGAATTTCAATAACAAACATTAATTTTTATATTGTTGACTTCTAAAAATCTTTTTTTGAGCCTAAAAACCTTTTTTTTTATACCATAAATCAAGTCCATGAAAGTTAATTAACTTGAACAATGTGTTGAAATAATTAAATTGATAAGAAAACTCATTGAATTTTTAAGAAGCATGAAGACTACTATGATTATATAAATTCTATACACAGAAAAAAATATTTTAGTGTTGGGAGGAAAAGGAGACAGGGATGGGCAATTAGCCTATGTAGAAAACTCGTGTGTGTGTGTGTGTGTGTGTGTGTGAGAGAGAGAGAGAGAGAGAGAGAGAGAATACACTCGAAAGAGAATGTGTGATTCCTTTATGAATACACATCAGCAGTACTTTCTCCATTTTTCCATTCTTTAAAAAATATTTTAAACACACAACAATTTAGAGAATTACATAACCCATTCCTAGATTCAATGAGTGTTACCATTTTGCTGTATTCAGATTGTTTAATTTTCAGGAAATAAACATTGCAGACACATTCGAATTCCCTCCTTGAACCCCTGTGCCTCCACCCAACCGGGTCATTCTCTCCTGCCAACTCCCGCTTTGTTGGGCCGCCGCCTTCCTAACTTAAGACAGAAAACGCTGTCAGAACTTCCCTCGTGTGCACCCAGCAGAGCAGGGGCTCCGGCTTGTCCCCCCATCCTCCCCCCACCCCCCCCACCCCGTGAGCCGCGGTGGGTCCCTTGCTCCCACCCCACCCCCTGCTTGCCGAGGCTGCTGAGCGACAAGGGAATGCGGGGTCGAAGGCAAAGAGCCGCCCTCAGCCGCGGGAACAGGAGCGGGGGCGGAACCGAGGCACAGGCCTGGGGGATGGGGCGACGGGACGGGGGCCTGTGGAATTGTCCCCACGGGAGCCTGTGGAATTGTCCCCACGGGGGCCTGTGGAATTGTCCCCACGGCTTCTGCTTCCTCCGCGTGCTAGGGAGCGGGCCGTCGGCGGGAGGCGGGAGGGGAGCCGGCTGGGGTTGGAGGGAAGGCAGAACCAGACAGGCCCTGAGGTAGCGCGGCGCCCTGCGGCGGGGCGGGCTGCCACCACCGCGGACACGGGGCGCCACGCCGGCCCGCGGGCTCGCTCCTGCTCCTCCCGTGCGCGGCGGGCTCGGCCGGGGGAGGGAAAGGCAGGTCCAGCGCGGGGGCAGACGGCATCAGGAGGAGCCCTGGCGAGGGCAGAGGGAGAGGCTGCGCCCAGGAATCACCCCTCTCTGGCTGTCCGCGGCCCGCCCATCCCCCAGTCACTCAACAAGCATCCATCTTATTTATTCAACACCTACTGGGCGCCAGACACTGAGTGTCTGCTGGGGACGTTAAAACACCGTCTTTCCGGTATTGCAACTAGAGCGTGGCAGAGTCCAGATCTGGCAGCCAGCAACTGTGATCATGGCACCAGCAAAAATCCTGAGGAGGATTTTTGAGCAAAAATAGGGAGGAGGCCTATGAGCAAATAAGGGAGAGACTGAAGAATGAAGTCACTCAGATGAAGGAGCAAGTACCTGGTTTCACACCAGGCCTGGCAATTTTACAGGTTGGCGACAGGGATGATTCCAATCTTTATATAAATGTGAAGCTGAAGGCTGCTGAAGAGGTTGGGATCAAAGCCATTCACGGTAAATTACCAAGAACAGCCACAGAATCTGAGGCGTTAAAGTACATTAGATCTTTGAATGAAGACTCTACTGTACATGGATTCATACTGCAGCTACCTTTAGATTCAGAAAATGTTATTAACACTGAAGCAGTGATCAGTGCTATCACACCCGAAAAGGATGTGGATGGATCGACTAGTATCAGTGCTGGGAAACTCGCTAGAGGTGATCTAAATGACTGTTTCATTCCTTGTACTCCTAAAGGATGCTTGGAACTCATCAAAGAGACAGGGGTGCAGATCGCAGGAAAGCACGCCGTGGTGGTTGGGCGCAGTAAAATAGTAGGAGCCCCAATGCATGACTTGATTCTGTGGAACAATGCCACAGTGACCACCTGCCACTCCAAGACTGCCAATCTGGGCGAGGATGTAAACAAAGGTGACATCCTGATGGGTTGCAACTGGTCAGCCTGAAATGGTGAAAGGAGAGTGGATCAAACCTGGGGCAATAGTCATCGACTGTGGGATCAATTATGTCCCAGATGATACAAAATCAAATGCGAGAAGGATTGTGGGTGATGTGGCATACAACGAGGCCAAAGAGCGGGCGGGCTTCATCACTCCTGTTCCTGGTGGCATCGGGCCCATGACAGTGGCAATGCTGATGCAGAGCACGGTAGAGAGGCAAGGCGTTCCTGGAGAAATACAGGCCAGGAAAGTGGAGTATTCAGTATAACAACTTAACCTGAAGACACCTGTTCCAAGTGACATTGCTATATCACATCTTGCAAACCAAAGCCCATTAGTACACTGCTCGAAAATTGCCTGTTCTCTGAAGAGGTGGAATAGTATGTGAGACAAAGGCCAAAGTCCTGCTGTCAGCACTGAAGCGCCTGAACACCAGCCTGACGGAAATACGTGGTGTGTGACTGCAATAACTCCAATGCCCCTGGAGAAGGGAAAAGTACAACCACAATCGGGCTGGTGCAAGCCCTGGTGCCCATCTTTCCAGAATGTCTTTGCGTGGTGCGGACAGCCTTCCCAGGACCCCTCACCTTGAATAAAGTGTGCTGGCAGGAGGGGCTACTCCCAGGTCATTCCTAGGGAAGAGTTTAATCTCCACCTCACTGGTGACATCCATGCCATCACTGCAGCTAATAACCTGCTTGCCACGGCCATTGATGCCCGGATATTCCAAGAACTGACCCAGACAGACAAGGCTCTCTTTAATCGTTTGGTGCCCTCAGTAAATAGAGTGAGAAAGTTCTCTGATATCCAAACCCGAAGGTTAAGGAGACTAGGCATTGAAAAGACTGACCCTACCACACTGACAGATGAAGAGATACACAGATTTGCAAGATTGGATATTGATCCAGAAACCATAACTTGGCAAAGAGTGTTGGATACCAATGATAGATTCCTGCGGAAGATCACAATTGGACAGGCTCCAACAGAGAAAGGGCACACACGGACGACCCAGTTTGATATCTCAGTGGCCAGTGAAATCATGGCTGTCCTGGCCCTCACCCGTTCTCTGGAAGACATGAGAGAGAGACTGGGCAAAATGGTGGTGGCCTCCAGAAGAAAGGGGAGCCCATCAGTGCCGAAGACCTGGGGGTGAGTGGCTCATTGACAGTGCTTATGAAGGATACGATCAAGCCTAACCTCATGCAGACGTTAGAGGGCACTCCGGTGTTCGTCCACGCCGGCCCCTTCGCCAACATCTCACATGGCAATTTTGTTTATCATCGCAGACCGGATCGCACTCAAACTTGTCAGCCCAAAAGAGTCTGTAGTGACCGAAGCAGAATTCGGAGCAGACATTGGAATGGAAAAGTTTTTAAACATCAAATGCAGGTACTCTGGCCTCCGCCCTCATGTGGTGGTGCTCGTTGCTACTGTCAGGGCTCTTAAAATGCACGGGGGCGTCCCCACGGTCCTGGCTGGATTGCCTCTTCCCAAGGCTTGCATAGAGGAGAATCTGGAGCTGGTTGAAAAGTAACTCGAAGAAACAAATTGAAAATGCCAGAATGTTTGGAGTTCCAGTTGTAGTGGCTGTGAATGCGTTCAAGATGGATACAGAGGCTGAGCTGGACCTTGTCACCCGCCTTGCCCGAGAGCATGGAGCTTTTGATGCTGTGAAGTGCACTCACTGGGCAGAAGGGGGCAAGGGGGCCTTAGCCCTGGCGCAGGCAGTCCAGAGAGCCGCACAGGCACCCAGCAACTTCCGACTCCTTTATGACCTCCAGCTCCCAGTTGAGGATAAAATCAGGATCATTGTGCAGAAGATCTACGGGGCAGATGACATTGAATTGCTCCCTGAAGCTCAGCACAAAGCCGAAGTCTACATGAAGCAGGGCTTTGGGAACCTACCCATCTGCATGGCCAAGACACACTTGTCCTTGTCTCACAACCCAGAGCAAAAAGGCG